AATACCTTTGAGGGGGCTGACCGCATTCATGAGGGTTTTTAAAGTATCCTGAACAGTTCTGTCTCTCAGGATAATTCTCTGAAACATACTGAGGAAATTCTAGAAAAGAAGGAAAAATCAGAGAACCAAACATGATGAATAAAATGAATAAGGACTCCAGTTAATGAAAGTGTCAGGTAGAACCCAGACTAGCCTAAATCACACCACACTACATACATGGCGTGACAGAGGGAAGCAGTAACTTCCGGTTCCTCTTAGAAACATCGCTTGTTTCCAGAAACACTGCTGGCTTCAAAGAGAAAAAGTCTTCTCTTCCCAACATGAAACTCACAAATCCCATGGACCTATAAAACTACCATGCTGGCCAAGAAATTCTAGTTTATATACCTAATTTATATATATTCTCATATACCTAATGGGAATCTCATCTATAATATCTGATGTATGGAAAAGCGTGGAAGGAAAGGTAAATGATCTGCTCTCATCTCTCTCAGGGCGGCAGAAAACACGCATGGACGCCAAAAGGCTCACCTGTAACTCCTTTACAATCATGAAGCACAGGAGCCTGTCTAACCCGTTCAGGCCGAAAGTCCCCAGTGTGGTCTGGATTTCTGAGAAGAGGCGGCTGCTGGTCACTTCTTGATGAGTTTTCATATCATACCAAGTGTTCAGCTGGTCAATGTGACAGGTCATTCTAAAAGAAAAATAAAACACATGCCAAACTCCAAAGCAGCTGAGAATTCTTTCTAAAGCGATGTGGCGTTCAACAGGATTTGGGGCATCAGATATGAAGAACAGTCGTATGATTTGTGTTGAATAACCTCTGTGTCGAGGCACCCAAAATGTCTCCAGGGTGACACCTGATGGACCAGGAAGGTAAAACTGAGTCACACCACCTTTTCCTGCCCTATGCTGTATCACTGTTTCACGGCTTTATTTCCACTGGGTTGGGCTGTTTGGAGTCATGTTAAGAGGACAAGGTCAGATTCATTGTGAGGCTGGAGGACTTCGGAGCCCAGTGTCTCTCCACAGGGTCTTTAAATTTCCAGACTGTGGACAAAACAGCCTTGTGTCATTTCCATTTTGGGAAGAAAGAAACTTTGAATCCTAGTGCCCTGTCTAGCAATTAGAGTATGATGGCAAAGCCATTTCCTCTTTGTTCCCAGTTCTGTCATCAACCAACGATTCCTTTTAGACTGAGGAGTGTGATGCCAATGATGATNATATCACACACACCCACTAGAATGGTTAAAATTAAGAAGACCGACATTGCCAAGTGCTGGAGGGGTATACAATGGTACAACTTTATTATAAAGTTAAAATGGTAAAACAGACCCCCAGATCCTGTATTTGGGCTCTTGTGAAGCTTGGAAACCTTACTTAAACCAGTTATCCTGATCTACCTGACCTAGGCCTTCCCAATTCTGAATTCCTCACTGCCCACTGCATAGGACACTAACATTACTCAGAACATGGAGACATCCTTTCCAGGGGGACACCAAACGTGCTGTTTACAACAAAAACTTCCTCTATGCAGGGAGCCCCACAAAGACTCTTTCTTAACAGACCAAGGTAGGCATGCGTTCTTAGATCAGTCTTGAGAACAATGCATAAGGTTAAATGAATGTTTTTAGGATATATACACATGCTGCCATTCCTTCTTCTGTCCTATATTTTAAAAATTTGATTCCCAAATTAACACATCAGTCTAACTCATGAAAAGAACTGTAGTCAGGTATAGGCACATTTCTAGGACACGTAAAGGTTTTGTTTAAAGATCTGGGAACTCCATGGAACAGTGACGTGCTGCCCCATAAGCAGCTGTATAATGAAGGTGCCGGACCTCAGCCACAGGTCCAGCGAGGGAACCATCACCTCAATGGGACCAGTGAACGAAGCCTTTCATGAAAACGAGACAGCTTTACGCACTGACCGTTCAGCAGTACAAAGGATCGTATACTCTTTTTATAACAGGGACAACAGAGGGGAACAACAATCTCTGAATCTTGAGATGACCCCTTAAATCCACCTTGGGATGGTTCTTGACATTAACTTTGACCAATATGCAGAAAAGGAGTCAGCATCAGTTGAGCACTTGCTCTGTGCTAGGTAATGTATTAAGTATTTTAAAAATCTGATTGGCCTGAGAGATTAAGTAACTTGGCCACGGTCATGTCGGTGATAAGTGGTGAAGCCAGAATCCAGACATAAGTTTGTCCCTTCCCTCCTACAGCAAGTTATTTACTGGGTGCCACCAAGCTCTGCGATCTGTGCCAGTGACAAGGATTGTTGTGGGAGGTGTGTCTGGAATCAAGAAACATTTTTGAATGAGGGTATAAAAATCTTAAAGAGACTACACATCTTTACCCTAAAAACGCTTATGAAATAGGAAGGGAAATACTTCAATCACTGGCTAAAAAAACAATAAATAAAATAACATTTACTGAAAAGCTCTTCCAATACTTTTCAAGTCCATTTATAGTGGATTTTAAAATACTACTTAGAAACAAAGTTTGGAGACAGAGGAAGTACTTGGGGATCTATTAAAATTGTGATTATAAAAATGTTCAAGGTAAAGTGATCAATGACAAAAAAAATTAGGGTTATATTCCTGGACAGAACAAATCTACCAAAAGCCTTTGGTATCTATTGTGCATACCAAATGTTTTTACACGTTAATCATACGTATCTTCGAGTACTAAATATGCCTGTCTGAGTCTTCTCTCCCAACTACACTGTTACTCTTCATACTGCAGTTCTGGATACACAGTAGGCACATGACGTTTGTTGAAAGAACAGGACATTAGCCAAAAGAATTTTCTTTCACATGGTCATCAGCTGCATAAACAGTAACTGAAAGGAGAGAAGCCAAGATCCCACACGTTTTATAAACTGGAAGGTTGACCACTGGAAATTAAAGGTGGACTGTAGTTGGTTGATACCAAATCCACTGTCTAAATTTCATGACGAGGCATCATATTTCAGAGGCCCAAAGACATGGATTTTATAAATATGCATTTAACTGAGAAAGGGTCTCATATGTGACATGACATTC